GTGTGTGTGTGTGTGTGTGTGTGTGTGTGTGTGTGTGTGTGTGTGTGTGTAGGGGGTGGTCATTTTACAACTGTCAGGTCACTTGCGTCACTGAGGGAAGTCAGGGCCAGGACTCAAACGGGGGGGACGTGGAGGCAGAGACTGAGGCGCAGGACGCAGAGGGGAACTGGCTGCTGGCTCGCTCACCCTGCCTCCTCACGCCACCCAGGGCCGCTGGCCAGGAGTGCCACAGTGCGCTGGCCCTCCCCTGTCAGTCACCAACCAATGAAGGAAAAGCTGCACCGCAGGCCTGCCCACAGGCCGTCGAGAGAGGCCTTGTCTTGGTTGAGATTCCTCTGCCCGGGCCACCCTAGCCTGTGTCAAGCTGACAACGCCAGCAGGAGGGCGGCAGGTGGAGAAGGCAGACCCGCCCAGAAGTGCCCTCCTGCCCATCCGCCCCCTGTGAGCACACAGCAGCAGCACCTCTTCCCACGAGGTGGGGAAGGCTGGACGTTGCCAGGTGTGCCCACAGGCGCCTGACCCCAGCCCCAGAGGATCCGACACCAAGGGCGCCTGCACACGAGGTGCGCGCACCGACAGAAGCCACACGCGCACACGTAAATTAAAAGTTAGTGAAATAAAACTAAAGCAAAATCAAACTCAATGTTTTCTCCCCACAGTGACTGAGGGTGGATTCTGTGTGAGGCCGATTTCTCAGTCCAGGTTTCTATTGCTGGGATGAACACCTGGCCAAAAGCAGCCTGAGGAGGGAAGGTTTTATTTCCACTTCCACAGCACTGTTCATCAGAAAAGGACGTCAGGACAGGAACTCAGGCAGGGCAGGAGCCTGGCGGCAGGAGCGAGGCTGAGGCCTCGGAGGGCGCTGCTCACTGGCTGCTCACCACGGCCTGGTGCCGGTGCTCAAGCTCTGTAGGTACACAGTCCTGCCTGCCGCTGTGGAGGTGTTTGCTCAGTCAAGGTTCCCTGATCTCAAATGACTTTAGCCTGTGTTAACCTGACATAAAACGGTCTAGTGCGGCCATCTTTGCTTGTTCACATGCGTACCGTACACTTAATCCATAGCTTAGCAGGTATGTCTGTCTTTGGCATCCTGTCGTCTGTCCATCCTCTTCCACGGCTCGCTAGCTCTCAGCCGTCAGTGACACAGAGGGGTTGGCCCTCAGCAGTCTGGGCACTCTAAGTGCAAAAGGTGCCAGGGAGATGATACGCCAGGAGCGGCGTCAGCACACCCAGAATGCACGCAACAAGGAAGACCACACTCACTGCAGGAAATTTGAACCGTTCATTGAGGAGACTTCTCACTGGTAAAGCTCTTCCCTTGGAGTCTCGTCTCCAGAACACGTGGAAAAGCCCAGGTGCAGGGACACGGTTTGTAATCCCTGTGCTGAGGGACAGAGGCAAGTTGCCATTGGGGATCAATGGCCAGAAAGCCTGGCTCATAGGAAGGCCCAGGCCAAAGGGAGAACACACACGCACTCGCACACACACGCGCGCGCACACACACACACACACACACACACACACACACCTTAAAAACATCAAACTCTTTAAAAGTTAGTCTTTTGGAAAGGTTTTCCTTAATTATCATACTTAATTAGGTATGTATGTGGCTTTACATGTGAATGCAGTGGCCAGACATGGGTGCTGGCACCAGGTTATGTCCTTTCAAGAGCAGGAAGTACTCTTAATAGCAGAATACCTCTGCAGTCCCCAAATTCTGTCTTCTTTGTGTCAACACCTGCCAATCAGAAGCGATTCTTTTTTTCAAGACAGGGTGTCTCTGTGTGTAATTTTTTTGGCTGTCCTGGAACTCACTCTGTAGACCAGGCTGGCCTCCATCTTATAGAGATCCACCTGCCTCTGCCCTCTGCCCTCTGCTCCCTACCCCTGCCTGTGCCCTCTGCCCCTGCCCTTTGCCTCTGCCTTTCTCCCCCTGCCCTGCCCCTGCCTCTGCCCTCTGACCCTGCCCTCTGACCCTGTCCCTGCCCTCTGCCCTCTGCCCCTACCTTTTGACCTTGCCCTCTGCCTTCTGTCCTCTGTTCCTGCCCCTACCCTATGCCCTCTACCCCTGTCCTCTTCCCTTGCCCTCTGCCCCCTGCCCCTCTGTCCCTCTGCCCCTGGCCCCTGCCCCTTTGTCCCTCTGCCCCTGCCTCTGCCCCTTGCCCATCTGTCCCTCTGCCCCTGGCCCCTGCCCCTTTGTCCCTCTGCCCCTTGCCCATCTGTCCCTCTGCCCCTGGCCCCTGCCCCTTTGTCCCTCTGCCCTCTGCCCCTGCCCCTGCCTCCCGAGTGCTGGGATTAAAGGCTTGCGCTGCCACCATCTGGCTCTATTGTTCTAAGCAAAGGTACAGATGACACTTCTTCTACTGGGCCGAGCGGCTTCCAGACCCCACGAGGGACACCATTGGTTCATCCTTGTCCCAAAGTGATGTCTGTTGAAGATTTGGTCCATGCTTCCAGGCTGCAGACAGCCCGGAGTGTCACCGTGCAGATGTTTAAGCATTGTCAGGTTCAGCCCTTGGACCTGGAAGCGAATTGCCTCGCCCTGACACTGTGGTGTGCTCCGCACTTGTCAACAATGTCATTGTCAGTCTCTTCAATTTCTGCCAATTCTGTGTAAGAAAAAAATGCTTTTTGGTTAACACGTGCATCATTCCCACTGAGGATGTCTCTCCCCTGACTTTAAAGTTGACTGCTCGCCCGCAGAACTGGGCCAATCCCCAGACCCACACGCTTAGGCATGGTGGCACACGCCTGCAGCCCCAGAGCTTAGTCAGTGGAGAGCAAGGCCATCCTCAGCTGCGTAGTGACCGAGTTCAAGGCCAGCCTGTGCCAAGTCAGCCTGCCAGCTGTCTCTTTTACTGTCTTATTATTTGATGTCATAAGTTCTCAAGCTTATACTTGTTCCAGTTTTTTCATGACGCTTTGCCAGTTTGTATTTTCTGTCGATCTGTTCTGCCCACATAGACCTTCTTTTTCTGAGTGTGAAGTAAGAGCTAGCTTTTCTTCAAATCATTCACTTGTTTCTGGATCATTGATAAGCTATTTGCCAAGTATCTGCTGGCGTCAGATGCCGTCTTCGGTATGCACGAAGTTTATTTTACTGCCACGAGCCTGTTTTCTTTGTTCTCTTCCTGTGCAAATCCTACGACTGCATTACAGATTCCTTACACTATCTGTCACTGTCTGGTGCTCACGCAGCCCCTCCCCCCACCCCCACCCTGTGTGGCTTTGGTTGATACGTACATAATTTTCTAAAAGTCTCTTGGTGTCCCTTAGCTCTTTACTCATATTATTGATTTCTTAAAATCTGTTCATTTTGGGGGAAAAGGTTTTATTGGATTGTGCTGAATGAATGCATGCATATACTTAGGAATAATTTGTCTGTGTGAAACTGAGTTTTTCCATGCAGGACTGTATGGCACTTGTAAAGTTTTTGCACTGTTGTCCAAAGCCCTTGTACTTTTCTTTACGTATTTCTGATTTACGCTTTAATGATGCTGTGAGTGAGGGTTTCTCCATCTGTTATATGTTGAGATCAGATTAATGCCTGTGGGGCTTCGAGTTTCCTAACTCAGTATTCCAGTGGAGTTTGTGTTAGTTCTCCTGGTCTTTCCTGTGCTGCTCTTAGCTGTTCTAAGTATCTGCAGAGAGTGAGCTCAGGTATGCTAGCAAGTGCTCTTCTACAGAGCTATCTCCCCCCCACACCTCCTCTTCTTCCTCCCAGGACCTCCTGAAGTTGCCCAGGTAGGCCTTGGACTCACTCTGCACCTCAGCTCCAGTCTCCTGAGAAGCTGGAATTGCAGACTATGGCACTCAGTCCAGCAACACTTGGATATTTTCCTTTCCATATTCACAGTCAGTCCTTCCTCCTGTCTTACCAATGGCAGCTTAATAGTTGGATTTTGAATTAGATTCTGTTTGTTTTTATTCTATTGTACGCTAACCTGTTGAGTTCAGTGTTAGCTTCGGCTCAGCAGTTAAGAGTGCTTGTTGCTCTTGCACAGGACCGGAGTTCAGTTCTCAGAACCCCCCTACCAGCTCACAACGACCTGTAACTCCACCTCCATGGAATATGGTGCCCTCTTCTGGCCTCCACAGGCACTGCACGCACATGCACACACACACACACACACACACACACACACACACATGGACACACACACAGACACATCAGTCTAGTTTCTATTGAAAGTAAGATTCATTCTCAGATGACAAGGCACAGACTCAGCTATGTGTTCTGCTTGTCTGACCGCTGTTCATTTGGTTTTGTGCCATGCATTTATCTGACATTTCTGCACCAGGATTTGAGGTAGACAGAGTACTGGAGGGAAGAGACCAAACATTTTTCTACTTAGAAGGAAGAGAACAGCTGGATCTGCCAGTTCTTTTTCCTGTCCATTCCCATGGGTTTTGTACTTAATGAAAAATTCTCTGCCAGGCATCTCTAATCCCAGCATTCGGGAGGCAGAGGCAGGTGAATCTCTGAGTTAAAGGACAGCTTGGTCTACAGAGAGAGTTTCAGGACAGCCAGGGCTACACAGAGAAGCGAGAAAGAGATTCTCATTCTTTAGTGACCACAATCGGATCTCTGTCAGTTTTTGGTGTGGTGGAGTGCTTTGGAAGATTAGGCAAGTTTGTGAGGGCTGGTAGCCAAACACCATTTTAACATGGAAGCTGCCTGGTGTGTTTGCACTAAAGGAAGCTTGAGTGTCGCAGATGGCTGCTATTTCAGCTTCCTGCAATGGTTTATTTTCGGTTGTGCTCATTAGTAGAGTTGTTTTCTTGGGGTAAATTTGGTTTCATCCAGACTTCTAGATTCTAATTATTCTCTTTAAATGTGTTAAGAATCTCAGACCTACAGGATAGGTCAGCAGGCAAAGGTGCTTGCCTTCAAGCTGGCCTGAGTTGGGTCTGCCACACCTACATGTACAAGGAGGAAACTGACTCCCACAGGGTCTTCTGATCCCCACATGTGGGCTGAGGCATGTCTACACACACACACACACACACACACAAGATAGATAGATAGATAGATGTGGAAAAAATGACCTTGACATATGAGCAGCTACTAATGTTTGTATATCTAATAACTGATAATATTTATTTACTATATTGTTCACAGAAACATAAAAACTATCTAGTAATAAGAGGAAACTAGGAAGTAAGAGGGGGCAGTTCAGAAAAGGGGTGAAGGGGGTCCTGGTAAAGCAGGTGTGACCTGACACCCTTCCATAAAGGAAAGAGTGCAGCTCTGTGCTTGCCAAGCGCCCTCCCACCCTGCCCATAACACACACGCACCTCTGCGTAAGATTTCCATCCTTCCCTTTCGGAACAAGGTGATGGCAGAGCGCAAGTCTAGGAAGTGAGATTCCGCTCTGAATCACCCTCTTCTTAGACCTATTTGTGTCATGGGCCATCTTGCTACAAGGCCTGGTCTTAGCTAGAAAGCAGGGGAGTATGGTGGACTCTTTCGAGAACCTAGTGAATTCTCTAAAGCCTTCTCTCCCTTGAGTGAGCCTCAGAGATCCTCCATTCACAGTAAGAGCACTGGTGATTGAGCGTAGCCAAACCAAGGCAGTTTATCGTAAGAACTTGGGAGCTGGGCATCAGCCTGGGAACCTGACTGAGCCTAGAGACCAGTCTTGACAGCCAGCACGCCCCAGGATCTGCCTGTCGGCACCTCTGGGGCACTGGGATCACAGGCACGCACTGCCACACCAGGCTCTCCGTGGCGGTCAAATCCAGGCCCCACTGTTGTGCAGCGAGCATGTCACGGGGTAGCTCGGACTGCGTTACTTCAGCTTTGTTCAGTTCCTTCTGCTGACCACCCTCCTCCACCAGGCAGACCAGGGCTGTCCTGAGCCTCCTCAAACCCTCGCCTGTGTGTGTGTGTGTGTGTGTGTGTGTGTGTGTGTGCGCGCGCGCGCCTGTTCAGCTGCTCCTCACCCACCGCACGTGAACTCACTGGGGCAGGGGGGTGGCCACACCTTCAGTCCCCCTGGGCAGTACAGGATTCAGCACACAGTAGGTGCTCAGTCCATCTTTGCTCAGTGTGGACCTAAATCATCACGCACCAGTTCTTCACACAGACATGGACAGTGGGCTGACTCTGTAGGGCAGACTGTCGTTAGGAGTAACGTTTTGCCTTGTAAAGTGAGTGCTCCGCAGTCTGAGCCAAAAGCAGCAGCAGCTTTGCTCGGGGCTTCCTGCCTTCCTTCTGCTGCTGTTTAACCCTCCACGTTCTGGCCCAGACCTCTCTTCCCCCTTCCCACAGCGCGCTCTCCCTCTGAACCTTGCTCTTCTAGTGACATCAAGCCATTCACACACCTCCAGTCTTCTTCCTCGTGGGGAGTGCCTGACCCCACTTAACATAGTGCAGCGTTCTCTTCTCTCCCGAGCCTGCTCAGAACCCGTCCTTCCCGTGGGTTATTCTCACATCCTAGGCAAAGGATCTCTGCCTTTTTTCAGAGCCTGAAGAGCACTGCTCATCTCAGGGGCCCTCAGCTGGGTCCTTCCCCAGACAGTGAAACAAATGAGCATCTCCAACAGTTCCTCTTTCTCTTCTTGCGTCAATGATTTTTCAAACCTTCCATCTCATAGATTTGCTTCTAACCACTCTCATGTAGACATCTGCCTTAGATTTCTCCAGCCACAGACTGTGCGAGCAGACCTGACACACAGACCTTGCAGTCTGTCAGTCAGGCTCACCTAGGCAGGGTCCCGCAGCCTGTTCACTGCCCAAGGCTGCACGGTGGGCCCTTCCTGTTGGAAGACTGTGAGAGAAATGCAGTGTTTCGTTTTGAGATCTCTCAGTATTGTTGGTAATCTTCACTCTTCAGTACTTAAGTCTGAGAAAATCTACCAAAGATGTGCCAGGAAAGGCCGGGTCCTTCTTAGCCCACACTGTGGTAGCACTGTTGTCAGAATCCAGAATCCTCTCCAGGCCCCTGTTCTGAGTTGTCTGACAACTGTGAAGTGCCCTCCTGTCTCCTCATCAGCTTTCTTCTCTGCGGTGATGAAAACAAGTTGAATTCTCCACTGAATGCATCAAAAGGCAGAAGGAGAGACTCACAGTGATGGCTAGTGAACAGGACATGCTTTAAGAGAAGAAAAAGACGACAGAGATTCCTCCACAGATCTTAGATTGTAAGATGCCCAGTGAGCTCATGGTGATTGCATGATTGATGGGTCTGACCCCATTTTAAAAATAATGGGTCACCTCATTCCCTTTGCTCTTCAGACGCCTTCTAAGAGAATGAGAACTGTGAAACAGCAAACCTTAAAAATAGAGGAAGACTCGCCGAAGGAACCTTAAAAGGCTAGAGTGGGCTCATGAGATCCAGGCAGGGTGCTCTGTTACCCTTCAGAACACCGGTGTCGCTCTTTGATGTCTCATGCACGTGTAAAGTGTGTCTCCATCCTCGACACCCTCCCTCCCCCTCCCTCTGCCCCTCCCCCACACACCATCCTGTGGTCCCCCTCCCTCTGCCCCTCCCCCTCCACACCATCCTGCGGTCCCCCTCCCCCCCCACCATCCTGCAGTCCCCCTGTCCCGCACACCATCCTGCACATCTCCCTCCCCACTCTGGAGCTTCTCCCCCCCACCCCATTTCTAACACACTGAGCTCAGTGCTTCCTGCTGCAGGGCTGGCTGTGAGCCTGTGAGTGCAGAGGCCTCATGGTGTCCAGAAGATGGCGCTCCATGGCAGTCCTCCCACACGGATTCTGTTCTTCTTGCCCCTCTTTTGTGTTCCCTGAGCTTTGGGTGAGAAGGGGGTCGTAAATGACACGTTTAGAGAGAATGGACTTTTCAGGACACATCCAACAGCCAAGGACAGAGTCAGAGCCACGATCTCAGTGTCCTGAGTTCCCACAGCATGTAAGAGACTCATTCGTGAAGGAGCCTAGCGTCTGATCACGGGGCGTGGTTATGAACTAACAGTATTAGACAGTGTGGCTCACACATGCCCCGTTAGCTCTGAAATACCAGTGTCTCCTTTTTTCTCTTGAGCTGGGGCACTGCGGCCCTTGAAGTCCCAGCTCGGGCATGCCTTCCACAGGCAACGCCTTCCCCGTCTGCTTCCCTTGCCCGCCATTCTGCACCTAAGGGCAGGTCGGATCTGAGTGTAAGGTTTGGGAGTCCTCTGCCAGGAATCTGCTGGGGCAGGGCCAGGCAGGTTTGCCCAGCCTGATGGTAGCTCCCGGCTGCTTCTCCAGCACCTGTCTGCACGCTGCCATGCTTCCCGCCACAGTGATAGTGGATTCAGCCTCTGAAACTGTAAGAAAGCCCCCGGTTAAATGCTTTATGAGAGTTGCCGTGGTCATGGCGCCTCTTCCCAGCAGCCGATGGTCACTAAGACTCTATGGAACGTCAGCCAAAGTCGTCCTTTGCTCTCCACAGTTCATATACTCACCCCCACACATACAAAGCTTGGGTCCAAACACTAAGTGTGCTTCTCATCCACCTAAACTCTCTAGCTAAGTGTTGACTGTGTTAAATTCAGCGTGAAGTGGGGGTCACGTCAGGGAAGGGGTGGTGTTGCTCAGGGTTACTGTCCCTCGGAGGCTAATGGGGACAGCTGCAGCCCACTCCCACAGAGATTCCTTTGTTCCAGAGATAAAGACTCTTATCTCCTGGTTCTGGCTCTACACAGGTGTTAGGCAGCATGTCAGAGACTGACATCAGCAAGGAGGCGCAGAGTTTGCGGACCAGCGCGGCCTCGGTGGAGGAGAGGCTGAGAAGCAGACTGTACGAGTTAGCCATGAAAATGAGCGAGGAGAGGGAGACGTCTTCTGGGGAGGAGCAGGAGTCCGAGCCCAGGACAGAGCCTGAGAACCAGAAGGGAAGCCTCTCTTCCGAGGAGAACAGCCAGGGCATCCAGGAGGAGCTGAAGAAGGTAAGGGCCGGGAAACGCCGCAGCTGAGGCGTGCAGGGGTGTGTGGGGTCGCCTGCAGGCATGCCGTGCTGCAGCTGCGGTGTGCAAGGGTGTGCAGGGTCCGGGTTTGTGCAGAGATGCCCTCGGCCCCAGGCAGCATCCTCTCGGTGCTCAGCCAAGTCCTCGGGAGGAAAGAAGAGTCGTTCTCAGTCATTGCCAGGGACAGTCACGGAAGGGACTCCGCTGTCCTTAGAGGCCGTCACATCATGTCTCCTTGGCCTTCACCTTTGAGCCTCCCTTCCATGACCTGCGACATTTCCCACTGCCGAAGAGCATTGTTGTCTGGCCTGCTCCTTTGCCCACGGTTTGGAATTCTGCATCTCGTGGCTCGTTTAGAGCAGTGGAAAGGCTCTGGTCTGCAGTACAGAAACTTGGTGTTGAAAGTCGCCATCTGCACTCTTCAGCGGTGGCATTTCAGATCCCAGTTTGTTTACGTCAGCCTGAGACTCCCTTTCAAAGCAATTTTATATGGAGTCCCTGCTTCAGACAGGTTGGTCCTGCTTTCAGGATCCCACATACTGGATCTGGAGCCCCACGCGCCTTCCCTCCCTTACAGGCCCTTCCTTACACGCTCCTGAGTCCTAGGTATGCCTTGAGCAGCATGGAAGGCAAGCCAGCAGGGAGGGATCGCAGGTGCCTCCCCACCCCACCTCTGCCCACTGTGCCAGCCTTCCCTCTACAGCTTCTCACACACAGTTCAGCTGAGTGTCCCTGTCTGCTGCCAATGAAGGGAAGAGAGAGGTGTGTTGAGAGTCTCCTTGGATGGATGGATAGATAGATAGATAGATAGATAGATACATACATACATACATACATACATACATACATACATACATGCGTGCATAGCTGCGTAGACAGATGCATAGATGCATAGACAGATAGTAGATAAATGATAGATATATACATACATAATAGATAGATGACAGGCTGATAGGTGATAGATGATAGAAGATGATAGAAAGATAGATAGATAGATAGATAGATAGATAGATAGATAGATGATAGATAATAGATAGATGCTAGATAGATAATAGATTGATGTTAGATAGAGAGATAATAGATATAGATAGATAGCTGATAGATAGATGATAGATGGATACAACAAAGCTTAAGACATGTTTACGTTGAAACTCTTTACAGAGTACGAGTGATCTTCATAGAGATGGGTGCTCCTGACTGAGGGAGCGCAACACGAGGATCTAGAGTGACTGAGATAAACGTAGGGGTCAGGTGTGGCCTGGCCCTGCAGATGGCACAGAGGTTACTCCGGCTGCTGACTGAGAACCGTACTCAGGATAAGGGTCAAGGGAGGAAGAGTCTGGGCTAAGCCTAACGGTCCGGCAGTTTGGGTGCTGCCTGGGTGACGACAGATAGCTCAGGTCATCGAGTTAGTGACCGCATCTACTCCTCCCAGGCAGAAAACAGATTTACATCTGTTCTGTTGAAGAGGCAGCTCTGCACGCACATTCCTGCTTTCCCTAGTGCCTGTGCGTGACGAAAGACCTCAGGCTTTCTACAGACAATAGATAATGATAGAATGAAAGGAGATAGATTTATAAGTAATAGGTTGATAGGTGGTAAGTAGATGATTAATAAATTGATGGTAGGTAGGTAGGTAGATATAGATAGATGATAGGTAGGTAGATGGATGGATAGATATGATAGATGATAGATAGACACATAGATGTCAGACAAGCTCATTAAATAACTTAAATATAGTTGCAGCTGATTTTGCAGATGGGGAAACTGCGTCTGGGTTATCAAGTCCGGCAGCTAGTGTCAGAGCTGAGAATGCACCATAAACCTCGGCCTTGAACCGTGAGCTCCCTCTGTATAACAGGCTGCCTCTTCCTTAGCTCCAGCAATGCTCCATTCCCCGGCACCTCGGGCTCTTGGTCCTCGTGAAGGTTGTGTTCAGAATTTGAGAGGTAGTTCTGGAGAGGCTCACCTCTCAGGTCACACCGTAGTTCCTGCTGACCCGTGTGTGTGTGTGTGTGTGTGTGTGTGTGTGTGTGTGTGTGTTATGTGTGTGTGTGTGTGTGTGTGTGTGTGTGTG